CGACGGCGGCGGCGCGCAGCCCGGGGCAGCCGGCGGCGGGGGCGCGCACTCCGTGCTCTTAAAGCGGCCGCGCTTGGTTCCCGCCTTCAGTTTAGCGCTGCAGGCGCGGCCCGGGGGTTGTGGGCTCTACTGGGGTGGACCCGGGGCTAGGGGTGACTCGGGCCCGATCTTGGAGACGGGAGGGCGGCTGCTTCGGAGGCCGCATGCCTTTGCCAGACTCCCGATGTGCGAGCTCCTGGTAAAGACTCGGCGCCCAGCGCGGGTTTGGCGAGGTCCCCGGTCCGCGCAGCTCGGATCCGGGACTCCAGGGGCCCCAGGCCCGAGTTTGGGGACGGGAGCGGGCGGCCCGCTGCCTTTTCGGGGCGCGAGGTTTCCTGCTTGGCCCTCGCCGGGCCGGGCCGCAGCACCGGCGCCCCCAGCCCAGCGCTGCCCCCGCCTGCAGACAAAGCCGAGCGGCCTCTGCACTCGGGGTGCGTGGAGATCCAATGCTCCCCCTTTTCGCGCTTCCATTGGCTGGGCCCACGACTGGGGGAGGAGAAAGATACTGACCCCAGGCTGACAAAATGCAGCCTTTCCGCGGCCCGCACTCTTCCCGGAGCTGCGGAGCACCGGGGGCGGAGTTTTCGCCAACTCGCGGGTCCCCGGGAGAAAGGCCGCCGCGCCCCGGCCTGGTCTCCGGACTTCGCCGGAAGCGCGCCTCGTACCCCAGCTGGACGAAAACCGCGCCGCGGGGCAGCACTGATTTCCTGGCAGCCACCCCGGGAGCCGCCGCGGCTTCAGCAATCGGGAGAGGCTTCCGGGGAAACGGGAGGACTAGGCTTATCTATAATGAGTTTTGTCCCTCGGCTCACGGTGAGATCTTTATTGGTTAGATTTCTAAGCGCCCTATTTTTCCCTCTCAATCCTGGTCCTAAAAGTGGAGGAGCCAGGCTTCTGATTAAATGTGTAATTGAGCCATGGTAATTAGCCATTTGTGATTTTTGCCTAATTTTTCCGCCTCTGTTTAAAAGCGATCTTGACGTGTTTTTATCGTGTCCCTGCTGTTTCATCCCACCGGCATACGGTCCCACACCCACCCTAACATCCCATCCGGATGCTAGGTTTTCAAATAATACACAGATGTTCAGCGGAGAGCCTCCCACAAGATGTGATTAGGAAGCAGTTTCACACCCACACTTCCAAAGAGAACCCTTTGAAAAGTTACGTTTGGGATGACAAAGTAATAAAAGCCAGGAAGTTCCTGGGGAGGGCCTGGGCTCCATCTTTAGCAGGACGAGGTGGACACCCTCCCCGGGGTGGGGAACAAGGGAGTTCCTTTGCTTTGGAATTTGGTCCTTCCCACATTTGTTGGACCAGTTTTCTTGAAAGGGGTGTGTTTAAGGGCTGTTCATTGTCGGTGGGAGCTAAAGACCGGTTTGAGTAACCCAGCATACCTTACCACGGAGGCTGCGTGATGAAATAGGGAAAACCTGCAGAACTCGAATAACACCCTGGGCTGCACCCTCAGGTGAGTTTGCTCATCCGTAAAATGGACAAGTAAAAGCGGCCCTCTAGACTGCTTAGTCTACCAGGCACTGCGATGAATACTTTCTTTGAACTGGTGATGCGACAAATGTACAGAGTACCTCCTGTGCTGGGCATGTTGGGAACGCAACAAAACAGCAGCCTGTTTACCTCGGCAGCTGTGGAAAATCAAAGAAATGATGCTTTGAGAAGACACTGAAATGCACAATGGAAAGAAAGGGTTGAGAGTCCCAGAAAATGTCATGTAGGTTTGGAAAGTGAATTACCACCGCCCTAGTAGAGCAGGGGAGCCGTGCTAAAATTTCACGTCACATTAGGTCTGGGCTAGCAACTCTCCTGGGGTCTCAGGCTGAAGTTTACCCCAAACTGCTCTTGGAAACAGAACACAAACCAGAAGTTTCACGGACATACTACATAGATGTGTTTTCATTCATTCTACAACCAATTACAGACCAGGCAGCACACCAGACACTGTAGCAAGCACTGGTGGCACAAAAATGACTTGGCAGGGCTGGGGATTTAGCTCGGTGGTGCCGCTGGCTGCCTCACAAGCACAAGGTCCAAGTTCGATCCCTGGTACTAAAAAAAAAATGACTTGGCAGTGGCCCTGCCATGCTCTCTCCTGGTGAATACTGCACACACGCACACACATACATACGCAACGTGGGGCTGCAGAATCTAGTGAGCAGAGCTGGTATGAAGGGTCCTGGGCTGATGAGAGGAGGAAGGAACTTACTATGTGGTGGGAGCAAGAGAGGACAGGAAATGCTATTGGTAACAGATTACCCTGAATTTAGGGTAATTTACCACTTACCTCACAGTTCAGACACAGCATAGCTGGGTCCTCTGCCCAGCATCTCTTGGGTAAAAGCAAGGTGCGGGCCAGGCTTTCTCCTCGAGCCAGGTAATAGACAGACTTCAGTTCCTTGTGGTTGGAGGAGGGAGCTCCTTTTTTCTTTTCTTTCTGGTTCTTGGCCAACAGTTGCTCTCAGAGGTCTGCGCCTCGTGTCCAGTTCAAACCTGGCAGCTACTTCTTCAAAGGCAGCCTGAGAACACCTGTGATTAGCGGTGCAGGAATCGTGAGAATGACAGTCCCCTTGCTTTAGAGATACCTAATCAAGGGTGATCATGCAGCTGCATTCGGTCTGACCCACTCTCAGCAAGAGGGGATTATATGATGGGCGGTGTCTCGGGGACTGTATTAGAATTTTGCTATCAGAGAGTTGGTGACCTGTTCGGACTTTATGTGCTCCTAAACTTATGGTGTAGTTATGGCTTCATAAACCCATTGTAAACTGAAAATGTCATAAGGTAAAGAAACATTTCATACACCTAACCTAGTGAACATCTGGCTTCAAAAGACAACACTATAGAGCAGTGATGGCAAAACGGAGATGAGTTCCCAAACTGCAACCCAAAGCCCACTTATTTATCACAAACTGTCAACACTGCAATTAAACCTCAATACTGAGGTCCATAAAAAAACTCATATTTAACATCTTTTGTCTTAAAAGCAACACACATGCCATAGGTTCACCACCACTGCTATAGAGCGCTGACTGTTGCCCACATGGTGAAGAGCTGCCACTGCTGGCATCTGAATATATATGATGTAAGGCGAGCCAGCCCAGATAAAAGATCACAGTTCAAAGTTCAGGTTCCAGATTTGGTTTTAACGGAATGGGGACTGCTCTTGCACCATCAAAGAGTGGAAAAACTGTAGCCCTCCCTACAGACTGATGGTTAAAGGTGATCACGCTCAAGCCACCTTAGCAGGGTTCTGCTGTCACCTGTATGTGCACAACTATAGGCAATGTAGCCACGTTGTGCCTCAGCTTCCTTATTTGAAAAGTGGGAAAATAACTGCATCTACTCTTACACTGAGAGGATTAACAGGAATTAACATACATAAAGTACTTAGAGCAGTGCCAGGCACCTAATAAACATTTAATAAATGTAAGGTATTACTGTTATCTGCTTGCCCAGAATGCAATAGAGAGCAAACGTGTTATTTTCTAGCTGCTCAGCTTCCATTTCTTCTAGTGATAGCATCCTAGTTTTTCCTCTATGCAAATGTCTGCAGAAGCTCTGAGTGAATCGAGCCCTTTCTTTCTCTACCCTTACCTTCCCCTACTCTCCCCTACCACTCAGCAAGGACATCTGCCCAGCCCTGGCCCTGGGGAATGTTTCATCCCCTTCCTGTCCACCATGTTTTCAGCTGAGACAATGAGAGTTCAACTTCCTCTTGGTTTGGCCGGACTGGATGAACTTGAGCCTTGAACTGCAGGGAAGGCCCAGCCCAGATGAAACTGCCTAAGGATGAAGCTGACACAGGGAAGAACAGTGGAGATATGGGGGCCAACAAACCCCTGATATCTTCATGTGAGTCCTGAATCCAAACCAGACTGTTCAATTGCTTGAGCTGATAAATCCCTCTAATTGCTTAGGCTTCTTTGAGTTGGTATTTTTATTTATGGAAACCAAAAACCTGACATCTAGAATCAATAAGAAGAGGCAAGTAAAATATCCACATCATACAAAGAAGGAAGCAAGAGCTATTAGAATTAAGTGATTTCCTTGAGGTGATTTCAGAGTGTAAACAATACAAGACTCAAGATCTACTGTATTAATCAGCTACTGTTGTGCAAATCACTCCAGAATTTAGTAGCTCAAAACAACATCCATTTTGTTCCTGATGCTGTGGATGAGCAGTTTCAGCTGGACCCAGCTGGGCAGTTCTGCTGGCCTTGTCTGAGGTCTCTGATACAACTATGGTAGCAGCACGCAGAGATGGGCTGAGATGCTCTCACGTGCTTGGCCACCACGGTCTTCATCCATTTACCTCTGCAACAACCTCAGATTTAATTTTTTCAAAAAGTCTCAAAAGCCGGGGGTGGTAGACACACACCTGTAATCCTGGCACTCAGGAGGCTGAGGCAGGAGGATACCAGGAGTTTGAGGCCAGCATGGACTACATGGTGAGTTCAAACCCAACCTGAACTACAGCAAAACCCTGTCTCAAAAAAAAAGTCTCACAGATAGTAGGAAAATGGGAGCAAAAGCTATAAGGCATCTTCAGACCTAGACTTGACAGTTGTATGATATCACTTCTGCTTTGTATTTTGTTGGTCAAATCAAGCCATACGGCCAGGCCAGATTGGATAGGAAGTAAAAATAGACTCCAATTCTTGATGAGAGAAAACAGCAGAGTCAAATTGCAAAGTGGCATGAATATAAACATAGGCTGAATTGTTGTGACCTTCTCTGCAAACAATCAACTTCCTCTACTATTAAAACTAACTGGTGCCGGGCCAGGGATTTAGCTCAGCAGTTTCACTGCTTGCTGCGCAAGCACAAGGACCAGAGTTCGATCCCCGGTACCAAAAAAAAAAAAAACCTAACTGGTGCCTGTTAGTGGTTGAATTGTTGAAGATATGTTGAAAAAAAAGTATGTAGAAGTCCCTTAGAATGTGACCTTATTTGAAAATAGCATCTTTGCAAAGGTGAGCAAGCTAAAACAAGGGTACTAAGATGGGCACTAATCCAGTACGACTGACGGCTTTATGAAAAGGAACTTTCAGACACAGAGCAGATAAGCACACAGCGAAGACAGTGTGAAGACACAGGAAGAAGACAGCTGAGAAGTGATGCGTCTACAACCCAAGAATTGCTGGCAAACCCCAGAAGCTAAGAAAAGGCAAAGAAGGGCCATGACCACACACAACTGTAATCACAGCACCCTAACCCTAAGAGGAAGACAAGTTCAAAACTAGCCTGGACAAGTTAATGACTTAGAGAAAACCCCTCTCAAAATAAAAAGGACTGGGGAAGAGAAGCTCAGTGCAAAAGCCCTGTGTTCAATTCCCAGTAATTAAAGAAAAAGAAGGGCAAAGAATTCCCCACATGTTTTAGTGAAAGCAGCTTGGTCCTGCGCACACCTTGATGCTGGAATCCTAGACTGCAGAATTATGAGGCAACAGATTTCTATTGTCTAAGATACCCAACTTGGGATGCTTTGTTGCAGCAGCCCTAGAAGCTGATACAGAGCCCATTAACCTTTTCCCCTACATCATTTTCATGTTTTCGGCTACACAAGTAAATGCTTACAAACCAAGAAAAGCCCAGACTAGGCATCCTGAATTCAAATTGGGTGGGTGGGGGGGCTTATTTTACCATAGAAGAAATTAAGATTTAGCAAAGCATGTTTATTCTGGAAAAAAATGTAACAAAAGAAATCCTGAAAGTCTTATAATAATATTATTTGTTACTACGTAAAACCCTATGTCCAGGCCCTGAAAGATGATGAACTAGTAGTGGTGCTAATTAATCCACCATTTGACAGGAAGGGTAAAGTAGAGCAGTTTTGACTGGTGGAGCTCTTTTGCTTACCAGTAGCCAAAGTCCAGTTGATCCAAATGGGATAAGGAAAGGAAGTTACTGCTTCCTGTTATGCTGGGAAGTTTGAGGGTTCAGGTGATTCAGGGGCTCCAATTACGGCTTGGCTCTCCTTGGCTTGGCTTCCTTCTCTGGTTCCTG